ATTTTCAACCCTGTTAGATATCCTTAAATTTAGCATGTTGATTCAAATATCCCTCCAATCGCATATACCTCTTTGTTCCCTCCTCTGCTATAAAGCCCACCGTCTAGGAACAAAAAATGATTTCATCTCCCAAATAACACCATAGTTTGATTATTTTGTCTTCGACATGTACTTTCTTTTGTAACATAACATTTTTGTAGAGGAAACATATCACCGAAAGAATTTACACGTCCCGCCGCTTTGCGCAGGTATGCTGCTAGTATACATATATATATATATATATATATATATATATATATACAGAGAGAGATAGAGAGATAGAGGTAGGTCCCATTGAGATTAAGAAAATAAAGATTTTGAAATTTAACTCCAACCACATATTTTACATTTGTCGTTCTAGCTAACCCTCCGACGTACCAGCATGGCAAACCTGTTATAATCATAAATGATTATATAGCATCGTCCGTTCTTTTCTCCTCCGTCACCATACCTACCACCACAACTGTCACCGCAACCACTACTACCACTTCTGACACCAGCCAACATCACCACTGTCACCACCGTCACTTATACCACCGCCACATCTGCAAACACCACCTTTTATGCCACAAACTATGATAATCATATATGATTATTCAATGTGAACATACATATATGTATAATCATTTATAATTAGACATATACGTATAAACATGTATAATCATATATGATTATACATCTCTGTCATATAATCATTTACGATTAGACATACCTAACTATTGTTAGTACGTTTGAACATTAGAGCAAAAAATAAGAAATATATGGCTGATGTTAAATCTCAAAATCTTTATTTTATTTAATTTCAAGTGAACTGTCATACATATATATATATATATATATATATATATATATATATATATATATATATATATATATATATATATATATATATATAGGGAAATATACATTACAGCCCCACCTAAGCTTAGGTACTAAACCTCAAAAATATGTCGTTTTAACATGCTAAATATACCCGGTTTGGTTTCACTTAGTAAATACATCATTCTCCATAACATTTCTTTCTTTCATTATCGTTTTATCATCTCCGTTTTCTTTCCTCAATTATCGTTTATTACTTCATCCAAGTGAACATTACTAAACCCTAAACCTAAACCTAAACCCTAAATTTAAACCCTAAACACTAAAGCTAAACCCTAAACCCTAAATCTAAACACTAAACCCTAAACCCTAAACCCTAACCCTAAACCCTAAACCTTAACCCTACACCCTAAACCCTAAACCCTAAACATAAACCTAAACCCTAAACCCTAAACTCTAAACCCTAAACCCTATTGCATCGATCTTGAATTTACATCTTGAAGTATTAATCATGAATCCATTAACCGTAATCTTTATATAGTAAAACAATGTATTTTCAAGAGGTTTAGTACCTAAGTTTAGGTGGGGCTGTAATGTATATTCCCTTTTCCCATATATATATATATATATATATATATATATATATATATATATATATATATATATATATATATATATATATATATCCAAAACTAATATCGGTATTACAATGGTTCAAAACATAATAGAATAGTAATCATTCATTATTTCATAAATTGATTTGTACTTAACATTTCTTTTTTGTTTATACATAACAACTTGTATTTTATATTATTTTATAGAGTTATATTGTATAAAATTCAAAGCAAAAGTTGTTATATATATAAAAAAAAATTTGTTGCCTTCAAATCAACTATTTTGAAAATTTTGGATTTTTTTTTTTTTTTTTTTTAATGTTTTTTGTGTAGATACTAAAATAAGAAAAAAAAAATACAAAACAATATTATATGGTACACCCCACTACTTAAAACACCGATTTATATGACTGACATACTTAATAGATATATCTTATATAAAACTAGGTTATAATCCGTGGAAACCATGGTCGGTATATTTAAAATTTTTATATAGATAAAAAATAATAAATGTCAAAAAAAAAACAAAGATATTGTCGATTGTAAATAATTATGAATTAATTTGTTTAGCAAAATAAACATAATAATGTTATTAGGATATGATTTTGTATTTTCAAAATTTGAATTTGATTTGTTACCATAAAAAAAGGAAATAATAAAAGTCATATAAAAATATCACGTGTCAAAAAGACATTCTAAAAAATTGACACGTATCATTTTGAGGTTTCATTATTAGAAGAGGTAGATTATATATTTTTTTCTTTTGGTTTAATAAAGATTGCACCTTTAGTCCAATTTTGCATTTTGTTACATCGACTCCTTGTTTTAATTTCTTGGAACTTTGGACATTGGTTTGTTTTATAATTAATATGAAAAACTATTGTACCTATAATTTGTTTTTTTTAAATAAAGTTTGTTTTATTTTATTGACTCATCCCTTCAACTTCCATTCCCTTATTTCCTCTTTGGTAGCCACCATAGTCGTGCCCAAACCATCGACGCCCACCCTATTACGTTGTCTGTGATGATGTCACCACCCTTCATCGGTCCTTAATTCATTCCCATTACCTCCTTATCCACTTACCTTCCCTTTTATTCCATTACTCCTCAAATAACCATCCTTAGTTGTCAACTTACCAGTACCACCTTTACTAGTTCCTACTAGAGGCTTGCAACTTCTAGAATCCATGTGGAATCGTGATAGGGTGACAAATGCCTTCAACGAAATTAACGCCTGAAGAACATTAAGACAAGCACTCCGCCACATTAGTATTTTTATAACGACTCACTATAGTATTATTATAACGACTCACTAGAATATAACAGTATCATTTAGAGATTCACATGGGAACACATTACAAACCATTAGCACATTGTGTTGATCGTCCCCATACATGGTGTTGATTGTCCACATTCGTTGTGTTGATCGTCCACATGCATTGCGTGGATTGTCCATAAACACCCGTCGATTACTCACACCACCCCGATCTTAGGGTTTTAAGACCACCAACGATTACACAATTTACGCGTATCACATTCTTTTGTTCATCATCAATTATGATTTTGAATATCTCGAATGAAACTTTATCACACAAGTCTTAGGGTTTTAAGACTACTATTTTTGTATATCAGAAAATTTAGGATTTTCTGGAGGAAACGATTCTATACAATTTCGAGCGATGATAAAAGAAAACACACATGCAACTATACCGGATTGGAAATAAGACTTACAGTTATTTTAACAGAAAATATTGGATTTTCTGAGTTTCTAAACTATCACAAATTATTATACAAAAACACAGATGTAACTATACCTAATTTGAAACGATACTTACTACTATTTTGACAAGAAAGTACTGGATTTTCTAGGTTTCTAAACTATCAAATTTTTATATGAAAATGCTTATGAACTCACCAACATATTATATGTTGACGTTTTTCAAACGACTTGTATTCTCAGGAAAATAGTAAGCAAGCTTTTGGATTGTGGATTTTGGATTATTTTGTTGTAGTTTGGAATTTACTTACTAATGTCTCTTTTGTGTTATTGGAGAACAAATACACGATGTAAACTATGTAAGGTTGTTATTTTAATGTATGATGTTTGGATTTGCTATGTTTCATTACTATTCAATTGTTATGATATTGTACAATGACATCATCTGTCTCCGGACGTTTCCGCTGCTCTGGTCCGAGGGTGTGACATTTGATAGTTTGATAGTTTGGTTTATGTTGATAGTTTGATAAATTGGTAATTATTAGTTTTTTAGTTTGTTATGTTGATTGTTAGTTTAACCTATAAGGTAATTATATAGTTTGTTAATTTGGTAATTGTTTATTTGATAGTTTACTTATATTTTGGTAATCATTAGGTTGATTATATTTTGGTAATTAATAGTTTACTTACATTTTGTAATTATTAGTTCTATTATAGTTTGGTTTATGTTGGTATAGTTCTATTATAGTTTGGTTTATGTTGGTAATTTCTAGTTTGCTTTTATTTTGGTAATAGTTAGTTTGTTAGTTTCGTAGCTTTTGGTTAATGTTGATAGTTTAACTTATAAGTTATAAGTTTATGTTGTTAATTATTATGTAGTTTGAGAAACTTAGAGCAATGCTTAACCACCCAGCGTGTAGTGTTGAACTTCAAGCGGTTTTTAAATCGATGCAACCACCAAGTGATACCGGAGAAAACGAGGGGAACTAAGATGAATCTTTATAAAGCTTTTGGTACTTAATTTAACATGTCGTATTGTATAAATTTTCTCTGTAATTAATGTTTTATGTTTTTGATATTTCTTATTGGTTTTTTTGCATCAGAAAAAAGGGTTGTTTAAAAATAATTATTAGCGGCGACACGTCGTGTTAACGATGACGTTAGTATCATCGGTGATAGATAGAATTAACTGCGATTTTTGAGCAATAGCAACGTCAGAATAGCAATGACTTGTCATTGTTTTTACCTTTAGCAGCGATTTCCGCACTCTTTAGCTGCAATATTTGTCGCCGGTAATGAGGGTATTTTTTGTAGTGATTAGCATTAGATTTTGTCTTTACGGGTGAATTCTACGCTCGTTACTTGTACTAATATGTCATTTTTATAAAATTTACTGAGGCTTGTCCTCTTAACCAAAAAAAATAGTTATACATGTCAAATTAAGATATGGATGTTCCAAATTCCGCAATTCGTGACCATATGAAATAGTTGTGCATGTCAAATGATGTTTAAAGGTCAAAACAAACCCATAAATGACCCGAGAAAACGAGTTTTTGGATCCTTGCAAATTCAAACTTCAAAGGTTTGAAAAGTTTGACTGACTCTGTATTTCTGCATATATATATATATATATATATATATATATATATATATATATATATATATATATATATATATATATCATAAACTTCTATATTACAACAAACCCGGCCAACTCTTTCATTCAGTAACACCTACTTCATTATTCGTGCACTCTTTTTAACATTCCTAAAAACCATCAAGAAGTTTGCAAGCTGAAATCTAATTACACCATGGCAGCCACTAATCAATTTTTGTGTTCCTCTTATTCTTCTTCATCATCATATTCTTCTTCTTCTTCTTCTTCTTCTCGAAGAGATGTATCAAGATCTTCAATTCACTTCCCGAAGATTGGAACGAATAATCTAAGTAGCCTAACGCCAAAGATCCATTCAAACAAGGGTTTAGTTGAAGAAATAGATTTTTCATCATTCTCACACAAGAATACGAGCAAAAACCCTAGAGCGTGTCCTGGTCCTGAGGTGATGGAGAAGCTCTACGTGATATTGGAGGCTGTTTCAGATCGGTTGGAGATGCATAAGAACATTGGAGAACAAAGGAATAACTGGAACAGTTTGTTGTTAACATCTATCAACACCATTACTCTTTCGGCTGCAACCATGGCTGGCATATCTGCTGCTATTACTACTATACCTGGTGCTCCTTTGGAAGCACTTAAGCTTTCATCTACTTTCTTGTATTTGGCTGCCACGGGGATGCTGGTTATCATGAACAAGATTCAACCATCCCAACTGGCCGAAGAACAAAGAAACGCTGCAAGGTTGTTCAAGCAACTTGAAAGCCAAATCAAGACAAAAATCGCTATAGGAAATCCTACTCTTAGTGATGTGAATGAATCTATGAAAAAAGTTTTGGCTATAGATAGGGCATACCCTCTTCCTTTACTTGGTGTCATGTTGGAAAAGTTTCCTGCTAAAACTGAACCAGCGGTTTGGTGGCCAGAAAAAAGAAGGACAACAGCTAAAGGAAGAAATGGAAACAATGGTTGGAGTGTGGAGTTAGAAAAGGAGATGAGTGAGATCATTAGGGTTTTGGAGGTAAAAGATAAAGCCGATTACTTGAGATTAGGTAATAAGGCTTTGAAACTCAACAAAGCTTTAGCCATAGCTGGTCCTCTACTAACCAGCTTTGGCGCGCTTGGTTCTGCCTTCCTTGCATCATCTCCTCATAATTCATTGGCGATGGTGCTTGGAGTCATGGGTGGTGCGATGGCGAGCGTTGTGAATACTATTGAACATGGTGGGCAAGTAGGGATGGTGTTTGAGATGTACCGAAGCAATGCAGGATTCTTTAAGATGATGGAGGACTCCATAGAATCAAACCTAAAGGAAAGAGACGTGGAGAGCAGAGAAAATGGAGAAGTTTTTGAGATGAAGGTGGCATTGCAGCTAGGAAGAAGCTTATCTGAACTTAGAGAGGTTGCAGCTTCATCTTTAAGAAACGGGGTAGACATTGAAGAGTTTGGAAGCAAGCTTTTCTAATTAATTAATTATTCATTATGATAATTTAGAAAGTAAGGATAACTTGATTAACTTTTTCGTGATGTGTATAAAATAATTAAATCATGAATTCGTAAGTTAGTTTAACTTTATCAAGATTTGTTATTTTTTTTTCCTTGTTGGCAACTAGTTATTATATTATCCCTAACTATAATTAAATAAAAACCAATTGAATTATTAATAATGTTTTTATACTTTACTATAATAACAACATAACACTATACTCTATAAAATGTGCATGACCTGTACATTGTTATATTTATATATATATATATATATATATATATATATATATATATATATATATATATATATATATACTACTTATAAAAGAAATCTGACTATTTCTATAAATAGATTGAATATAATAATATTATTTTTTTAAGACGTCCAAACTATTAAGCTTGAAGTACAACCCATTTATAATATAATAATATTAAAACTTTAACCCTATCATTTATCCCCTAAAAATCTGGTATCAAATTAATAGAATAATTCATTTGCAAATTGAACCCGTCAATCTCAACACTTCAGCCATTTGAAGCGGTCAATATCAACAATTTATAGAGGATCTCTTCTCTCACATTGGTAACAAGTCATCTCATAATATCTATCTTCGTAATCCCTTCAAAGTAAGAAATATACGCACACTCTCTCGAAGAACCCTAACCAGTAACCAAGACAGTATAACCACCACCACCACAGTCGCTCTGCTTCCTTCCGCCTTCAACTAACCACTATCACGACTACTGTCCTTCCTCTCACCCACGACATGAACTTTCTTTTGGAACATAACATTTTTTTTAAAAAAAAAATATCGTTGAAAAAAGCTATTTGTCCCCGCCGCTGTGCGCGGGTAACGGCTAGTATATATATATATATATATATATATATATATATATATATATATATATATATATATATATATATATATATATATATATATATATATATATATATATAATCATCCACATGGCTCATTTTCAAATAATAAACGGAAACTGATATTCCTATTAAAATGGTTTAAAACACAACGGAATGGCATCCATTGACTATCTAAACTCTTGTCCTTTTCTTTCTTGTTTTTTTCGTTTTTGTTTTTTTTCTTCTTGTCCCTTCTTTTTGGTTTTGGTTTTTGTTTAGATTTTTTTTAATCATACTTTTAATTCTGCATACTTTGATATTGTAACAACCCAAAAATCACAACAAAAAAAATTCTTTTAAAAACATTAATAAAACCATATTTAATAAAACCACATCATAAGTCATAACATAATTTCCGAGTATTAATCCAAAACATAATCTTTTTATCAGAATAAACATTCCCAAGTTAACTGACTATGGTGTGTGCACTGCAACCTCTCCGAGCTCCTCTTTTGAAAACTGAGTACCTGAAACCAAAAACTGAAACCGTAAGCACAAAGCTTAGTGAGCTCCCCCAAACTACCACATACCATGTAATAACATATAAAGCACATATTGGGTCTTGCCCACTGCATTGGACCGTGGTCCGGGCTAACTGGGGCCTTGCCCCATGAATCGGACCGAAATCCAGAAACTGACTAGGACCTTGTCCCCTGCATCGGACCGAAGTCCGGACTAACTGGGGCCTTGCCCCCTGCATCGGACCGAAGTCCGGAAACTAACTGAACATAGCATAACATAAACATATCAACTAGCATGAACACACACATATACTGCATATTGCATCGGGCCGAAGCCCGGAACACATAACACATAAATCCTATCTAAGCCACGAAGGCATCAAACATACTAACTACTGCATCGGACCGAAGTCCGGAAACTACTGCTAGCTAAACGGGCCGGCACTGTGGCCTTAGACCCGTTCCTACTGGAAGGAAACTCACCTCGAAATGTTAACTGCTGAAAACTCGAGTGAAAGATCCCCGACTGCTGTCCCGGCTGCTCTCCGGCTATCATGACAAGTCAAACACTAAATCAAAAAGGGGAATCTTTTGGTGGGTAAAATGACTATTTTACCCCTACTATGGTGTGGGTCATAACCAAGGCCTAAAACCTTTAATTCTTCTAAGTCCATCAATGGCCTACTAATGGCCCAATTTTTGAATTGGGCCTATCCCTCATATGGGCCCCACCATAACCTTGGCCCATAATCTAACTTCTGGAGGTCCAATAACAAGATAGGCTTTTTAAGCTCACTATTGGCCCAATTTATTATATTGGGCCCAAAACCCTTTATTGGACCTTACTCAAGCCCAATGCTAAATCCTTGGTCCTTAGCAACCGAATTCTAATGTCCCAATAAGACCCAAGGACCCTAAGTCTTAACTCAGCCCACACTGAGGCCCAAAATGCAATAAGCCCAACTGACTACGTTACGCGGTGCGTACTCTAATGTACGCTTAGCGTACTGGCCTGCTAGAGAGTACGCGGGGCGTACCTGCAATTACGCTCGGCATACTCATTCTGTTAAGACACTTTCCATTAAGCACTTAATACTCCGACTCAAGATCCATAAACTTAGATCTAGGTCTTATTCCATGCCCTAATCCATAAAGTTGCTTACTTTATGGCTTCCATGACTTACATAAGTCCCAACTCCAAATCCCATGTTCTAATTCCATGAAAGAAGGTCTTAACTCATGCATGAACTCATTAGGGCTTTCAAGATATCAACTTTCTGTTCTAGGGAATCATTTAGCACCAAGGGTGGCAACCCTTGACCTGCAAATCGGATTCAAGCTATAAAGCTTTCACCTTTGGACCAAAAACTACCATAACTACCCATACTAGATCTAAGCACTCATAGACAAAGTTATGAGCTTTTTACCTTCCAGGTGTTCCAGAGGATGGTGTTGTCTCAGATATATAAGCCCTGGCCTCCAAGGTTCTTCCTTGCTAATCTTCATCTTCTCTTTTCCAAGCTAAGACCACCAAGATAAGCCTTCCAAGATCAAGATCTCATAATATGAAGGTAAGGACGTTATAGGGTTCTTTCTGAGGTTGGGGAGGCTGATAAGGGGGCTAGGTTCGGAGCTATAATGTCCTTTATATAGTGCTTGTCCAAGAATTAGGGTTTTTAAGTTGTTAGCGTACGCTGGGCGTAACTCTCGTACGTCGGGTGTACGCCTATAGGATCCGCGATCTTTTGCCTCTTTACATTGGGCGTACACCAGCCTTACACTGGGCGTACTCAGCTAAACACACGTGCACTAAACACTCATGCATGGCCTTCCATGCAAACTTTTCGCTATAAGGGCCATTCATGCCAAATCTTCAAAGTGTCATAACTCATTCATTCTAGATTTGTTTCTGCTGAACTTTATATCCACGAAAAGGTGACGAGAACCCCTACGTTTCTAACAACACAACCCGGCCCGAAAACTTCTCGAATAATAACTCCAAATTTAATAAAGGACTAAAATGCCCCTGGCCTTGGCCTCTGAAATTTCCATAAACAAATATTTCAGAACAAGGCGTTACAGATACCACAAAGATAAAGGCCATTTAATTGTATTTGTTTTCATAGTAAAATAATACGATACAAACCACATTATATGTACTCGGCTATTGAAAACAACAATTAAAAGAATGATATATTTAGTAGATATATCTTAAATAAAATTAGAGAAATTATCTCTTTGGTTTAGGGTGTGTTTGGCACGAAACTTATGGAAGCGTTTGAGAGTTTCTAGCTTTTAGCTTTTGACAAAACGCTTTAGTTTAAGCAAAAAGTTTCGTTTGATAATAGGAGCGTTTAGCTTTTAGTTTAAACAAAACGCTCCAAATCTAAAAGTTACTTCATGTAGCATTTAACAAAACGCTACTGAGCTTTTGAAATGAATTTACATAATTACCCTTAAAAATATATTTATATATTTATTTATTTTTAATCAATTGTCTTTTAATGTAATTTTATATATATTTCAAAAGCTTTCAGCTACTTTTGTCAAACACTCATATAACAAATAAAAGCTACAGTTTTTCGCTACCAGCTACCCATTACATGCTACATGTTACCCGCTACTAGCTACTTGCTAACCGCTTCCAGCTAACAGCTACTTTTGCCAAACACGCCCTTAATAAAGAGCGAACATTTAATTAGTCCAATTTGCATTTTGTTACATGGAGTGTCCTCATGATTTCAATTTGTTGCAATTTTAGGCAACCGACTTTATTTCTATATAATATAAAATTCCAAGTTCACCTATAGTTTAATTTTCAAAACTTATTTTTATTTTATCTCCTTATCCCCTCAATGTCCCCATCCTTTTTCTCTCTGCGGTGATCATGGTCATCATTGTCGTTCCAAAACAACCAACCCTTCACCCTACTGCGCTCACCATATTGATTCCCATGCCCTTCATCGTTCCTTCCTTCAAAACACCTCCTTATCCTTTTGTTTTCCTTTTTGTTCCCTTGCCTTCATCATTAGTAACCAGACTTATCGTCCCCTGGCCACTGCCACCCTTTTACTGGTTGCTAATAGCGGCTGGTGGAGATACCCTAATTTTTAGGGTGTTGCACCCTAAATATTCTCTTTAATCCCCAAGAGTTGGCCGCTTTATCAACCTTCATTCCCCAAAATCATCCTTTGCAGCCCTAATCATCTTTCCCTCCCATTTTTGAGCTAGTTTTGTGTTTTTTAAGCTAAAGTATGAAGAAAGTGGAGGTAGGAAGCAAAGATCCAACAAGCAAGCCCTTATTCTTTAGTTTGGCACTCTCCTGGATCCTTGCAAGTGTCCAAGATTCGATTTTTATCATTCCAAGTTGTTAGATCTTGAGTTTTGTCCCTTTAGTTTCTTGTTCTTGAATATTGGAATGGTTAGATCTCATAAAGTGTGCAACTTTATAGATCTCCAAGTCAAGGTGGTCTAGTAGTGTCTTGGATATGGTCTATATGTAACATTCCATTTGAAATTAAACAAATAATAAGCTCTAAAAACCCCGAGATGTAAATTTTCATTATTATTTTATATTATTGTAGCCAAAATCAATGA